ATAAGAGATTCTAAAGATCTATGTTCGTAGTGGTTCGTATAGTTAAAATAAACTTTTTTATGCATGCTTTGGCTTTTTATTCATGGTTTTATTGTTCAAAGAGTGTTTTAAACGAGTAATTATCGTCCATGGCTGAAGCATTTCAAGTATCTTTATGCTATTGACTTCTAATATAAAATACCTTCGGTAAGAAAGACTAAATAAATCCTCGAAATAAAAGAGATAAACCAAATCTGACGATATAAGAAGATAATTAATAAAGTTTTGTAAAATTCTTATTATTAACTCTTTCTTATATCAAAAGTTAACTGTCTCGTTATATAAAGCAGAAGTAGGTACAGTTGTAAAATGCCAGAATAAGGATTTGTAGTCCTGAGTATGTACGTACGCATACTTTCTACAGTGTGGAATTGCTTAATCGTCTCTAGAGGTATTCAGTAAAGTGTACTGTACGGCAGTACGGACGTACGAAAATTTTGATCGTACGTACGGTTAATATATTAGACATCACTTTCAAATTTCCGTCAAGTAATAATTGACATACGTGAATTTACATATAATAAAAAAGCTCATAACCCTAACCACGAACCAACCAGGGTAAAATCGCCACCAAAAAAGTTTTAGATCATCACGTGATAATATGTCGAGCACCAAAAAAATCATTTAACTTGAACAAACAAAAAATTCAGACTAAAGAATAATAACGGTAAGCAATAATTAATCGTTTATTAAGTAATCAATTATAGTCTTACGGAAGAGCATTCAAAATAAAATTTATAAGATTTTCTGGTGTAATTGCATTTGCCTGATTAGTTTTCGTTTATCATTAGTGGAATTTTTGGTTACGATGAACAATGTTTATTTTTAGAATATTGTATTATTTATTTGTTGGAAATCTTCACATTCGTTTAGCATATTAAATAAAATTTTCACTCTACCAAAAGTTATTCTTATTTAATTATCAAAAAGTTACTGCATTAGCGCGACGCTTTATCTCGTTTACTTAAGCAATATATATATACTAAAATCTTTAGGGTTAACCTATTTTTTGAGACTGTTGAAGAATTATGTATCGGGTTTTAAATTATATATACCAAAAACAATTCCTAAGTCAGGTAAGCAATAAATTTGAAATTCAATGACGGTTTTCTTTTTGCGATTCCCTAGTTCAAACCTTCATTATTTTCACTCTTAGTATAGTCACAACATTGATATAAATACATTATTTTTTTGGCTTTAATTATTATGAACCATATAAAATTTAACTTTTATATAGTCACAGCTTATTATAATCATCAGATTTTTTTATCCAAGCTGTTGATTATAGCAAGGTTGACTGTATATAGCTCGTCATTTAATGACGGGTCCTAATATCTAGTAGTAGGTAAAAGATTTAGCAAAATAGCAATCATCGGGCTTTAGCTTTTAAAAGTGACAAGTTTTATAAGATTATGTTCAAATTTCATTCTAATGTGAGAACACCCTTTATTTATAGAAAGATTTCACATAACCAAATTACAAATCAAATAAGATTCATAAAGTAAAATTCATATAAATAGACTAAACTATAACCTCTCATTAATTGCTTTTCTTTGACTACAGTATCCTATAATAAATGATAATATAGATCAAAAGATACACAAGTTGCGAAAAGTATTTGAAACATTTGTATGTTAACATGCCTAGTAATTGATAATATTAATTAAAAAGTGGGTTAAATTTAGGATTGCTAACTTAATACTTAATTTGGTAGGTATTTATATCATTCAAGTTTGAAAAGATTATAAAAAATATTGTATAAAATAATCTGGTATTTGTAAAATAATAAGTGCGCAATAAACTTGTTTAGAAAGGAAATTAGCTTAATAAATAAGAAAAATATTTAATATATTATCAATAAACTTGTAGCCTATTGTTTATATTGATATTAACAGAATTTAATTTGCATTTAATAAAGTATTTATTAGCTCAGTGCTAATAGGCTGACGAATATATAAAGAATCTTGATGTTTTTGTGAAATTGTTGATAGAGTAGGAATAATTTTGTCTGCTTCTGAAAATTCATTTTTTATTTTAATTTGTTCTTCACTTAATTTTTCTTGCTCCTTATTAAGAATTATTTCCCATTCTTGCAATTGTTCATAAACTTCTTTGGCAGTTGGCCGTTTCGTCGGATCTTTATTCATGCACTGTTTTGCTAGTTTTATATAAACATCAGGTGTTCCTAAAGCAAATTCTGGTCGCAATTCGTCGATTATTATATCCAATATAAACTTGGTTGTTTTATGTGATATATTTTCAAATGGTGGTTTGCCAGTTGACATTTCTGACATGATTACACCTAAACTATAAATATCTGATTTTTTTGTAGGTTGATTTCCTAATAATACTTCAGGTGCTGAATAAGATACTACTCCATATATTTCTTTATTTGTAGTAGATTCATTTATTTTTCTAGATAGTCCTAAATCCGAAATTTTTGGTTCTACTTTTATTTCATCGCCTACATTTAGTGAAACTACTGCTAATTTATCACCTATAGTATAAGGAATATTTTCAATTTCTCTAGTACTGATCATAAGTATATTGCCGCTATGAAAATCGCCATGAATATAATTTTGATAATAAAATCTAAATTATCAGAAATTGAACAAAGAATTTTTATTTTTTACACCCAGTCAAGAGTTTTAAAATTTGTTGCTAAATACTGGCGGAGGTCTCCTTTATCTGCATATTCAAAAACCATTAGATATTCATTGTTGACGATATTATAAATTACTCCATAAATTTCTATTCCATATTTATCTACGCTAAATCTGTTAAGCTGGCATTCATAATGCATTTTAAACTAATGTACATTATTAATATTTTACTTATATAAAAATAGTATAAAATATAATATAATATATTTATTTTACCTCGTTAAAAAAATCTGATGATATATTTAAAATTCCGGTTAAACTCTTAAGTGCTACCTTGCATTGTTCGCGAGACAATAATACCTTACTATAGTTTGTACCTCTATCATATGTTCGTTTACCATCAATCCAAGTTGCAGAATAAACTGTGCTAAAACCGCCTTTACCAATTTGTTTAACATTTTTTAATTTATCATAAGGTATAAATTCAATTACCTTATGATAATATTTAGAATTTATTTGTGCATTTTTTATAAATTGATCTATTTCAGAATTTCCGCTAGTCCAGTTCTGACCTATTTTAGGATCACAAGAATGACAATAAAAAATTCCAGTGTTGTATTCTTTACAATTTACACAGGTTCCAAACCTTAAATAAGTCACGTCTGTACTATATGATTTTATTCCGAATGAAGTATTTAAATCTGAAACTGATTCTTTATGCCTGCCCATCAGGCGATAAATTGTTCCGCGATTAAATAATTTTAAATGATCTTGATCAATTTCTAATGCTTTATTTAAATCTGTAAGTGAATCTTCATATTTGCCTATCATTCGATAAATTAATGCACGAATATTTAAAGCCTCTGCATTATTTGGCTCAATTTCTAACGATTTATTTAAATCTGCAAGTGATTCATTGTATCTGCGCATATTTTAATAAGTTGATCCACGATTAATTAAAACCGTTACATTATTTGGATCAATTTCTAATAATTTATTAAAATCTGCAAGTGATTCTTCGTATCTTCCTATCCGATGATAAGCTGCTCCACGATTATGTAAAGCCGTTGCATTGTTTGGATCAATTTCTAGTGATTTATTTAAATCTGTTAGTGATTCTTCATATCCACCTATCTGTCGATAAGCATCTCCACGATTGTTTAAAATTATTGCTTTATTTGGATTTTTAATGATTTATTTAAATCTGCAAGTGATTCTTCGTATCTGTGCATATTATGATAGGTCATTCCACGATTATTTAAGCCGTTGCATTGTTTGGATCAATTTCTAATAATTTATTTAAATCTGCAAGTGATTCTTCGAATCTGTACATACTATGATAAGTTAATCCACGATTATTTAAAGCTATTGCGTCGTTTGGATTAATTTCTAACGATTTATTTAAATCTGCAAGTGATTCTTCGTACCTTCCTATCAGTTGATAATTTTTTCCACAATTGTTTAAAGCCGTTGCATTGTTTAGATCAATTTCTAATGATCTATTTAAATCTGCAAGTGATTCATCGTATCTGCTGTTGGTGGCAAAACCAACGAAACTCACTGCGCCGAATTCGACGTCACGGGACCCGAAAACGTGACGAAGCCCTGATTCGAAGCTCCCATGAAATCGCGGAGAAATCGTGAGGAAAAAGTCCCCAAGGCCACAAGATCCTATGTTTGGGGCAGTGCCGGAAGCTTAGCTGGAGGAGGCAAAGGGATAATGGCATCATGAGATGGGCTTGGGCTTAGATTAGAATTAGAATTCGATTTAGTTCCCCCCGCATGTAAAATTCGTTATAAATATGGGCTTGTTTTGCCCTTAATAAAGGGGAGGAGTGTTTGCTCAATAAAAGTTGCTCTTTGGTCCCACTATATACTTGGTACGCCTTAACCTGGCCAAATCGTAATCTGCTTCTAGTATCGAGTATATAGGGTGGTTGTGTTGCCTTGTTTCTGTTTTAGGTGGTGATTGGTTGGTCAGTGCTGTGACCCGTTGCCACCAACAATTTGGTGGTGACTGTGAGATACGACAAAATATCTCAGTTTCGCCTGGACATTAGGAACCCGTACTTCGCAAGTGGATTCCGCGATGATATTGTTTTTTTTATTAATTGTTTTTTCTTGAGGCACTAAGGAATAGTGCGCTCATTTTTTTTTATTCGGACCGACGTACCGCGTCCGTGTAGTTTTTTAGTTTAATTTTGTGTGAATACGCCACAAATCCGCCCTACGAATCGTGTTTCCGAGAAAAAAAAAAGAAAAAAAAATATGTACGATATTTACCCGCCGCCGATATATCATCAACCCCGAAGCTGAATTGAGGCCCGAACAACTAAATGCACGACCGCAGCAAGCGCAATGACGCCTCTGACAAGATGTTTTGGTGCTCCTATTGTGGAGTAAGAGACCACATTGTTAGTGGGTGCCCCAAGTTATCTCTCTAAGAGAAAGGTGCACTGCCCTCTTTGCCGCACTCACCGTAGAACAAGCTGACGAAGTCCAAGAGATCGTTGGCTCAGCTTTCAGAAATTGCCTCCTCGATGAAAAACAGATTCCACAAGCCCTGAGTTTTTTTTGGAAGTATTAGAGGAAGTGAGTATGAGTGGTAGCTCGTATGATGACGAAGAAGAGGAAGAAGAAATCGTATACCTACCACCATAAATCCAATTAACCCCACCCACGGAACGAAGAAGTCCGCCCCTAGTGCCCCCTGTAGTCTCCGTTCTGGTAGCACCTACAAAGCTCCAAACACCAAGGCACACCGTATCTGAAAGTTTCGCCACTTACTACATCCCAGAAGAACCCTTTGAAGGTGCTATGCTTGGTTCCGAAGAAGAAATCAATTATGAATCGTTTCTTGATAAACTCGCCGCCGTATGCGACACTCTGGCGTGAGACTGGGCCCCGGAAGAAGTTGCCCAAGAGCCCCTGTAGGAAATTGGCGTTGAAAATGATAAGAATGAGGGATTCATTTATTATCAAAAAGCAGCAGAGATAGTAAATGCCGAAGCAACGTGCCCGGTTGGGTCCTGCTACAAAAAGAAAAAGATGAAAAACTCGAAGTTGAAAGGAAAAAAGTTAGTAGCATGAATGGAATAATGCAAAAAACTGAAGAAAAAAACAAAAAAGGATATTCGCCAGACGATCAAAGTGCCGAAGGAACATTTGGTGCTGGACTTTGCTACGAAAACGGAATTGGAGCTGAAAAAGACGAAAATAAAGATATTGAAAAGGATGAACATAAGACATCCGAATATCAGAAATCAGATGCCGATCACGTGACCGAAATGACTAAATCGGATGAAAATAAAGTCAAAAAGGAATATGGAAACGAAGTCAAAAGGGACGAAAATAAAAGTAGGATTTTTGAAGGAAAAGAAATCGAAGTCAAAAAGGATAATGGTGAGAAAACCGAAAAAAATGAAGTTAGAAGCAAAAAGGAGGACAAAAACGGAATTGGAGTTAAGAAAGATGAAAAAGAAGTTGAAGTAAAAAAAAAGGAAAAGAGAATTAAAGTTGAAAAGAATGAAGGAGGTTAAGTTAAAAAGTATGAGGAACGTAAGGGAAGTGGTGTTAAACGGGACGAAAAGAAGGAATTAAAAGTCGAAAAGGATGAAATGGTGAAAGTTGTAAAGGAAGACGAAAACGAAAGTGGTATTAAGAAAGATGAAAAGGATAAACATAAGGTGCTTGAATGGTACCCGAAAACTGCTGAAGGCGGTAATTCAGAAGAACCCGGTGATCTCAAACGTAATCGAAATGAAATCGGTGTCGACATAGCCAAGGTTGCCGATAAAAGTGATGCTGATGGAACGTATCGTGATGTATGTCATTACGAAAATTGAATTGAAGTTGAAAAAGACGAAGCTTGGGCCTGGTGATTGGAAGGTGCTGAAAATGGCCAAACGAATGGGCAATTTGACCCTGGTGGGTCTCGACTTCAAAGAAGAAAAAGTCTTGAAAAAGACTGTGAAGTTCAAAAGAAAAAGAACGGCAGAAGCCGAAGCAAAATTAGAGGTAAAATTGGTGAAATAAAGAAGGTGGATTTCGTACCACCACAAAGCTTGCCATTTGACGTTGCCCCCGGGCAAGTCGTAAAATGGTCTGTGAAAACAGACGTGAAATGAACCAAGAGGCCCCGTAACGTGTACATTGTGAGGGACAAGATTCGAATCAGACTGCCGAATAAAGTTGAAGAGGTGCTAGAGTTGGGAAAGAGGTTGGGTAAATCGGATAAAAGTCAATGCAAGACAAAGAGTCGAGCAAAAAGACTTACTCTGTACTTACTATGGTGGGACGAAATGATAGTCTTCGATCCAGGAGGAAGACACGTCAAGCTGACCCCCGGCAATAACCCTTAAAAAGGGCATGGTCGAAAATAAAGAAAAATTACATAAAAAAAAAAAAAAAAAAAAAAATTTTTTTTGTTTGTTTGTGTGTGTAGGTTTTTTAGGTGAAGTTTCCGGAAAGCATGCTGCAGCGCAGTGGCCAAGTTATTTTCCACGGGACGTGCAAAATTAGTCAGGGGAGAATTGTTGGCGGCAAAACTGCCGAAACTGACTACGCGGGATTCGATGTCACAAGGCCCGAAAACGTGACAAAAGATCCCGAATTGGAGCCCACGAAATCGCGAAGAAATTAGGAGGAATTGGTTTTGCCCCAAAGCCCATCAAAACACAAAGCTAGAAAAGCCCCAAGACCACGGAACAATGGAACCCAAGATGGGCGCAATTATCCAATTCGTGGCAAGTCCATCTGTTTGTAAACAGAGGGCCAAGCAAAGCCGAAAATGGTGTGTTTTGGTTTGCAGGCTTAGAGTAGAATTAGAATTAGGATTTGCTTAGTTCCCCCCCGCATGTAATTTTTGTTATAAATTGGGCTTGTTTTGCCCTTAATAAAGGGGAGGAGTGTTTGCTCAATAAAAGTCGCTCTTTGGTCCCACTATATACTTGGTACGCCTTAACCTGGCCAAATCGTAA